CATATGCTTGGAACCAAGAGGATGGACGAAATTGAAGATTTGAAGATGATGTTTCCTACTTGAACAAGGTTTCCTAGTCGAAGTAGGAAAGCGCCTAAGTGAAGATGGAATCCTAGTTGAATTAGGATTCCTAGTCAAAATGGGTTTCCTAGTTGAATTAGGATTCCTTGAAGATGAAGATTCCTACTCAAACAAGGTTTCCTACTTGAAGTAGGAAAGTTAAATCCAAATGGCATCAAGTTTCAGCAACAAAGAAGTTTTCCAAGTCCAGAAGGAAAAAGGAATCCAAGATGATGAAGAAGAAGAATTTCCAAGTCAAGGGAGGATTGAGACATGTTTTCCTAATTCTAGAAGGACTCCTAAGTGTTGTAGGACACAAATGAGAAGTTTCTAGAGTGTTCCCCTCCTTGCCGTGAGTTTCCTACATTTCCTATCAGTTTTGGGGCTTTCTAGAAGCCCTATCCCTAATCCCTACATTGGTGCCGCACCCTAGCTTCTAGAAATCTGATTTCCTTGCCTTGCAAGGCTTTCTAGAAGCCTTATCCACCTTATCCTATCCCCCCGCCGCACCTAGGACCCTTTTCTCTTGCAACAAATCTGATTGTTTAGACCTATTTCCTTGTGGATTTGGGTTATCCAAGTCCATATCTGATTACCCTAGGGTTTTAAGTGCCTATATATACTCCTATTAACCCCTAAATCAGATCACCACTCACCACAATTCACAATTCACTCCAGAAATTCGTCCAAACTCTCTCCACACCTTTGCCGCACCATTCCCTTCCCCTAAACACTACTACATCCCTCCATAACCATGCATCCATACACCTAAGGTCCTAAACTAGTCCCTAGAACCTTTGCCGCACCAAGGAGGAGGAGAAGGAAGCTCGGAAGTTCATGCAATTCAAGTTCGCGTCGCTGGAATTTCTAGGTGTTTCTTTTCCTTTGATTTCAATGTTTAAATTCAATTCTCTTTGTTTTGTGCGTATGAGGAACTAAACCTCCCCTTGGCTAGGGGGGGATTCGAAATACATGTTTATGCTTGCGTTATGATTTGATTACTTCTAATTGCGTTTCATAAGTTGTGAATTCAATTTACTTATCTATGTGGATTACATTGATTTGTGTGTGTTGGTTGAGAGTGCACGCTTAATTATCATGCATAAATTGAATGCTAGGATATAAAGGAAATTTCACCTAATCGTTATGGAATTATATTCACAAGTAGTAAAGGTTGATGATCTCAATCACGTTAAGTAAATTCTTGGCATAAGTTTCATGCAATCATAGTAACAAGTGCTTCGTCAATGCTTATGGTTTTCATAGAACTTAATGATTCTTGCTTGTATCTCTATTATGCAATCATGTAGGGGACTTGTGGGGAATGTTTTGGGTTGTCGTATGCAATCATCCAATTCAATGACGTTAGGAAAATCTGAGGGTTAATTGAATTAATAAGCGGAACTAATTAACTTGGGGCATTGAGAATTCATGGTTTATTGAAAAGCAATTGGAAACCGTTTTGTATGCAAGTATAACATGTGTGGAGATGAACCCCTTAGCTAGCCTTCCATTCACCCATTTAAATCAAATTCGTTTTTACAATCTGTTCTAATTTACAAAGTTTGTTTTGTTTTTAAATTCGTCCAAAACCAATCCCCCTTTGTTTTAAGGTGTCAAATTAGTTAGTAAGTGTTTTACTTTGTGTTTTTAAGTGTTTTGATTCAAGTTAAAACCCAAATTCGTCCAATTTGGTGCTTAGTGTCCAAAACTGCCCAGATTGTGTTTTTAAGGCAGTTTTGAGTGTTTTGGTGCTGTTTTGAGTCTTTTGGTTTGTTTTGGTGTTTTAAAGTTTAGTTTTGCATTCTTTGAGTCTAGTTTAGTGTTTTAAACTTGTTTTTACGTTTTTGAGTCAATTCCAAGTGATTTTGCAATCCCTCCTAATCCCCGGTCTACAACGATCCCTACTTACATACATTGCTACAATTGATAAAAAGAGGGTTTAATTTGAGTGTCAACATAATTTTCACATCATAATCCAGATCAAGATAGCAAGGGTGGATTCTGGCACACACGATTCGGTACTTGGACTTAGGAAGATCTGCAGACACATTCTCATTGTCTTCCTACCAAACTCGGAATATAAGATGACTATGACCCATTAGAATAGCTTATTCTTCACCTTTGTTACGAACCATAACCATGGGAGGTTCAGGGGTATCGAGAACGACATATTGGATATTTGGATTAGAGAAACTAGCAACCATTAAATTCGATCAAGTACGAGATGGTTAACGATGGCAGATGAAGAGTTGGAGTGCTTTCTAAACAAGATTTGGGGATTTGAAGAAGAATGGAAGGGATGATGCAGAAGATATTTAAAATAGGATATTTTGAATCGTCCTACCATTGAATACAAACCGGTTTGCCTTAAGATCAACGGACTCGACTGATATCAAAAGAGGTTTCTCGTTTTTCGTGCCCTGAAGTTGATATTTGGGTAGAACTGTTCTTGTAGCTCTATGCAAGAAATGCGACAAAGCTTAGTTTTCAGCCCCACGCTCTTTGTTCTAGCCCGATCACTCAGGAGGTGACTCATTTGGCCTTGTTTTGCATTTAAATGTACAATTTAGTTTGTAAACAAGGTAATTCAATATGAATTGACTGAAATTAGTTTTTCTTCCATTGATATTTGGATTCTTGGCATGTAGTAGGATATAAAACCAAGTTGACGCATAAAAGAATCAAGACATGCACAATCTCTTAGTTAGAAGTCAAATAACTTAAGGTGTAAGTAACACTTGCTCAAAAGACTATCATTGGTAGAATCCAACAATGGCACACTTATATTATACTATATATATATATATATATATCATTTGACTTGAATTTTCTACTTAGCCTTTGATTGACATTGGTATAAAATTGTAAAAATAGAACCTATAGTTCATTAGTGGCATCATCAGTTGCATTGGATTTCGTATTTTTTTTTTAAGTTTTTTCTTTTTTTTCCACACATCCAATATCATGCGGTGTGAAGATGTAATGTTCTTACAACAAACATCTTTCGTCGCGTTACTTAAATCTCTCATAAAACATAATTTTGGCACATTCAATTCATAAAACTCCTTTATGCGCGTACTGTTATATATGAAATGTGAATTGTTATTACAAGACCAAGTCAATGTTTGGTAGCTTAATTGGAGTACTATAGACATAGAATAGTGCTATTTAGACATTCGTTTTTATCTTTCACACATCATTGTTAATTTTTTACCATTGATCTTCTTCAATTTATTCAATTTGACAGCTGAAAGTTGAAAGGAGTGTGTAAGAAGTAAAAAAAAAGTGTGTGAATAACGTTATCCTATATACATTGCATCATGTTAAAAGATTTCAATTCTTAACGCAAAAAGAAAGCAAACCACATTACTGATTATTTACTGATACACAGACCACGTATACAGATAAACTTAACATACACAAATTACTGCATTTCTTTAATTTATTTTTAGTGAAAATGATAGTAGCTAGGTTTTTTTTTATTTTTTATTTTTTATTTTTTTATAAATTAAAAAACATTACAATCTTCTAAGAGAACACTATTAATGATGTATGGGAGTTCTTCAAACCAGAAAAACTAGTACTTAAAAGAAGTTGTTCCTATTCCTTATCCATTAAAGAATTTTTTAGGAAGTTTAACAGTATGGTCCGGGTGTTTTAAAAGTTAAATTACAATTTTTGTATTTTTAAATAAAGATATAACGATTAAAACACTTGAAAAATTGACCAACACCATAAATAGTGGATTCTTCGGAATTATCTTCATGCTGCATGGCATGCCGTTAATTCAATAGTGAATACTTCGGAATTGTGCCATAATTATGGCTCATTTGGATGTGCTTTTAAAATGGCTGAAAATGCTATTAAAAAAAATGTTTTTGGGTACCAAAAGCACTTGAAGTGCTTTTTTCAAGATTTACTTGCATTTTTACTAAGGATTGGTTTAAAAAATATTTGAACAAAAAACGTTTTCAGTTATTTTAAGAGTATATCCAAACAAGTTCTTAGTCAATCATATTCATAGGCGACAAGACCAACACCATGGATTCAAGTTTTAGATTCTTTCAAAGTAAACGACATTTGTTAATGGACATCATGTAATGTACCAAAGCTTGATTGATGTAGATTCTAATGACGCCAAACAAGTGTTTGTTAGACTAATTTAATTATGGACCTGACTTCTTTGCCCTCCCACTTCCCATATACTCTCATCCCCTCTTATTTGTGCGGTCACGATTAAGCCACGTCAACATTTTATATTACTATTGTTTTTTGTTTTATTATCTTAATAAAAAAAATCAATATAAAATGTTGACGTGGCTTAACCGTGACAATACAAAATATGAGGGAATGAGAGTGTATGAGAAGTGGGAGGGCAGAGAAGCCGGATCCTTTAATTATACCTATGATTTATAGATGATGTCACATTTATGACGCATGGAGCCGTATGTAAACTAGTCACCTACTATTAACTAAAGGGTAATGTTAGGGGAACTAAATTTGTAGACTAAATTTTGTAAGTAAATAACATGGAAATTGAAGATATGATTATTACTTTAGTGTTGATTAAAGCGCTTATTTTTTATTAGTGACACATCATTTAATTTGCAAATTAGTCTACAAATTTAGTCTACCTAGCAATTCTCTTTACTAAACTCACAGAAAATATTAAGTTATTTGTCTACTAACATCTCATATTCTTTTAGGTTGTGAAGTACTAAAACTTACAGAAAGCGGGAATATCATCATTTAGTGTTACCATTATATGTATAATATGTGTGATGACATAATTGATATGTTTTACTTCTAGAATATATTGATAAAAAACAAATACACGTACGATAATTTTACTGTACTAATAATATCGCGTGATGGGGTTCCAAATACACAAAAAATTACTATATACCTAATAACACGTAAGCTGCATGAGGTAAGTATTTTGCTATAAATATGCAGCTCTTATAGCAGAATAGGCACCAGAATTAAGAGTGTAGAGAAGCATTATTCGAGAACACAAACTAAAATGGAGGTAGAGCAAGTGCTTCACATGAATGGAGGAATTGGGAAAACAAGCTATGCAACCAACTCTCTACTTCAAGTTAGTCAGCATCTGTTTCTCTATTTCTTTTTTTTGTCTCTGTGTGAACTTTCCTAGTTGATCATATTCGATTTTAATGATCTTTTTTAATATGACGGGAACTTGTTTTCATAAAATTAAAAACTTTTTAATAATATTCAGCTGTCTGAATTTCTTTCAGAGAGCTGTGATTTCGACGGTGAAGCCCATAGTTAAGGCAAGCATAGAGCAGCTTTGCAGCACACTCTTCTCTGACTGTTTGAAAATAGCAGACTTGGGATGCTCTTCCGGACCCAACACCCTTTTGGCGGTATCAGATATCATACACAACATCCATGCCACCTTCCAAAAACTGAACCGTCCATCTCCTTCACTCCAAGCCTTCTTGAATGATCTTCCTGGGAACGATTTCAACACTGTGTTCAGGTCATTGCCAGGGTTCTACAAGAAACTTGAGGAAGAACAGAAGTTGGGGCCATGTTTCATTACTGCAATGCCTGGTTCTTTCTATGGCAGGCTCTTTCCAAACAATTCTCTCCACTTTGTTCACTCTAATTATGCCCTTATGTGGATCTCTGAGGTGTGAATTGTTTTATTTTATTTTATTTTTTAACCCCTCATACACTTACTAATATTTTTCGTGGTGGTTTAATTAATCATGGTATTTATTATGATAAAACGTACTGTGTAGGCTCCGAAAGGTTTGATGACCAAGGAAGGAGAGGGACTAAACAAGAAGAACATATGTATAGCAAAAACAAGCCCATATGCTGTGTATAAGTTGTATTTGGAGCAATTCAAAAAGGACTTTACGGTGTTTTTGAGGTCACGAGCAGAAGAGCTGGTCCCCGGAGGAAGTATGGTCCTAACCACAATGGGCAGCATAAAGAGCCATGACCCACTTTGCATTTGGGAAGTTGTCGGAGTCAACTCAATGATATGGTTTTAGAGGTAATGTGTGGCCTAGATAATTAAACCTAAATATCTATGTACCAAATAGGAACAAAATAAAAGCAACTAAATATGAACCACATTAGTTTACGACCACTATCGCAAGTTTATGGCCACTTTTTAACTACTTCTCTAATCGAGATGAAACCAATGAAAAAACAAATAAACAAAATTGCTGATAGAGTTACAAACTAAGGGATACATTTTAACTGACTTGTTATTCTAAAAAATTACAAAACACATCCTATATATAACGAAAACTAAAAAGCAGCCTAAAGCGAACCCTAATCTTAACGACAAGGAACCCGAATTTCCCAACAAAGTCTTAAAATGTACTTGTTTCCTTCAATAACTACTTTGCTAATTACTAACATTATTCAGTTAGATGAATTTCAGGGTTTGATTGAGAAGGAAAAACTGGAGATCTTCAATCTGCCATATTATGCACCAACAACAAAGGAGGTTGAAGATGTAATCGAGGCTGAAGGATCTTTTACTTTGCAAAGCCTTGAAGTTTTCAAAAATGATTGGGACTCTTATATAAAGCATGCTGACAGTGGCCTTGATAGAAAGGCAAGGGCTGCCGTACTTGCCACTGATATAAGGGCTGTGGGAGAGCCTATTCTGGCAACCCAATTCGGAGAAGCAGCTATGGACGATTTGTTTCACCGGTTCGAAGAAGATGTCCTTGATCACATGGAAATGGAGAATTGCCAGTACATTAACCTGGTTATCTCGTTGACAAAGAAGCGTTGAACAAGATGAATATGCAAGAAATGACAACGTGGTTTAGGCTATATTGTTCTTTTTATCATTCTGCATTTCATGTTTTGTACCTCATGATAAGAAATAAATGTGCTTATTACTCTTTAAGTATTGTAGAAGATCAGCAATCTTTCAGTAAAATGAGGAAGATGAACTGAAGAGAAAGAGCGCTTCTGTCTTTTTATGTATCTTGGAAAACATAAATAATTATGAGGAGTGTTGAGTATATATCCCAATAACACTTAAACAATTCTCTAACAAACTCTTAACTGAAACTGATTTAGGAAACCATGTGTCGCTATACTGTTAACACCCCTTGAGAAATTTTTAAATGTAACCAAAATACTTGTCACTTGATATATCATGTGTTATACTACGGGTGAGCAACATGATTGAGGGTATGTACCAATACCATTTCCAAGCCTTGTCCAGCTCTGTTGTAATAGCAGTCCAAGTTTTGAGGATTACTAATTCTAATAGCAGTCCAAGTTTTGAGGACTTGAGAATGTATTAGGACTATATTTGTTCACCTGTTTAATAAGATTGAATTGTTTGTCCTAAGCTGATTCTAATAGGAGATCAGTTAGGAGAACATTTAGTATATAAACATTGATCACTGCTCTTGCAATTCCCCTGCTCATTCTGCATCAAAGACCTATTGTTTAAGAGCGCTTGTTTTATTGCAAAGAGGAGAAGGTTAACTGTTTGATAGTCTGTCATGGCTTCATCATCTTCATTAGGTTCTGCAGGTAAGACTCTTGTCCTTATCTTTGTACTTCAGATTTTGTTCATGAGCAACCAAGTCCTTAAGTTACTAGACGCAGAAAAGAATCAAGACATGCACAATCTCTTAGACTGTCATTGGTAGAATCCAACAATGACACGCTTATATTACTATCTTTTAACTTGAATTTTCTATTTAGCCTCTCATTGACACTGGTATAAAACTCTAAGAGAACCTAGTTCATTTTGGGGCATCATCAGTTGCATTGGATTCAGTGCTGTTTATTTATAAGAAGAAAAATATGATTTAAATGTTTTTAGTTTTGTTTTTCCACATATCCATGTAAACACGAAAATTTTGTAACGAATAAAACTAGAACACGTGTACAAAGTAGATTTGTTTTGATTTGAATTTGTAGGTTACAGTCTATGTTTATAATTTTCCTCTGATTCAGTTTTCAAATTTGATGTAGATGAGTAGGTTGTTGATTCAAGGGTCGCAATGACTTGATCTTGGACGAACGATTGAATGATTGCTTCAAGTTTTGAGCTTGAAACAATGCTTGGATGGTCTTCACCTCAAAGTTGCGGCAAAGGGTGATGTTGATCCAAGATTTCATTGATTCAAGAGTCTTGGCAACTTGATTTTGAATTGAACGTCATTACAAGTTTTGAGCTTGCAACAAAGTCTTGAAGGAATCGGTACGAGTTCTTGTTGATTCTTCAAGGGAGTGCTTCGGCTTTGGTTGCGGGTTCTTCGAAGAAAGATTTGACAGTGTATTAGTCTTTAAAGATTTGTGAAGAGGTTCTTTTCAATGTGTAATTTTTCGACCCCTTTGTGTGTCTTGGATCCTTATATTTATAGACTTCCAAAGCCATGCCTTTGGATGGATTTGGCCTTGATTTGTGCTTGATTTGTCCCTGAGAGAATTTAGGCATATTTTATGTCTTAATTTTAGCCACCTTCCTCATATTAGCCGAAATTTATAGGCCTTGTTGCCTATTTGTGAACAATCTTCAATTCTTACTTATTTTGTGACGATGCTTTGGCTTTCTTTCCGGTTTTGAGAGATTTTGGGTCCCTTGCCGATTTTAAGGTGGATTTTCTCCCTTTTGCCGAATTTTGGGAATATCTTACACTTTCATTGCTTGATTTGTGCTACATGTCATCGATGACTTGTCCATTTGTGATGGGTCATATGTCATGTGAAGTTTTGTGATACATCATTTGCATGCAACGAAATTTACATGTCTACAATCCAAATATGGATATTTCGTGTCATATTCTTACAACAAACTTCTTTCAATCGCATTACTTAAATATCTCATAAAACATATTTTAAGGCACATTCAACATGAAACTTGTTTATGCGCGTGCTTAAATATGAAATGTGATTTGTTATGACAAGTCCAAGTCAATGTTTGGTAGCATGGCCATGTGAATACTGATGAGTTCAGGGACTATTTCGTCGTTTTCAAAGATTTCAACTCTTAACGCAAAAGAAAGCAAACCACATCACTGAATTATTGACTGGTACACAGGCATATATAGAAATACATTAACTTCATGTATGCAAATTTCCAAATTTCTTTATTTTTCTATAGATATTTTACTTCATTTTTTTATTTTATGTTTTCTAACAAACAATATTATCTACACTAAAAGGGAGAGAGTGAGTTTAGTCTCACAATGAGCTAGCATAATTTGGTTCAAATTCGCCTTTGCCTTTTGGTGAGAATCGAACCTAAGATCTCTCACTTACATATTAAGAGAAATACCACTAGACTATAATACTAAGTTTCTTGTTTCAACCTATGTTTCATTATTCATGTTTTCTAACCCGTAGTTTAAGACAACCTTCAGTAAGCTACCATTGGTTGTGAGTCTTGAGCTAGTGTGAAAATGCGAATGGATAGAGGAAATCAAATACGAAAGATAACCAGCCACGATCAAATTTATCCAGACCCAACGCAAATGAAGCACAATTTCAATCCTGCAACACAGCAGTAAATAATTAACTAAAATGCAGTACAAGAATAACAAGATTTATTTTACGTGGTATAATGCAGGAACAAAAAGGAAAATTCATGGACATAAAGCCGGGGAAAGAATTCACGAAGTCTAAACAAAGGTTTATTTTTAGTCATGCATTTTGAAACTCGACTTTGATCTCACGTTGCTCTATGAAACTCAAATTTTGCTACTTAACTTCCTGAAACTCAATTTTTGCAACAATTTAACGGCTATTTAATGGAATAGATGAAAACTAGGAAAATGAAGTAAAAATAGAGTTTCACGGGGTTAATTGGCGAAATTAGAGCTTCGGGAGGAAATTAAGGTCAAAGTCGAGTTTTAAGGGACATAGCTGAAACTAAGCCTTAAAGATTGCCTTGCCCTCTTGTTCTGGTACTTGTTTCTTTTTGTCTCCTCTTGATCGCAAACCTCTCTGGTTGCGGACGTAATCACATCAGGGCCTGAAGCTTTGCACAACTTGATAACACAGATGAGTGGAAGATCTATAAAGGTTGAAAGTGTTTCACCAAGTTTACTCTTTTAATATGGCACTCAAAATTTTGCTTAAAATCTTTTTACTCTATAAAAAACTTCTCACGCTGGAAAAATTTTAATACACGCCTAAGATGGCATCGTGGGCGTTTTCTCCATTTGTATGTAAGTGACCAAATTGCCCGTCCTTCTCTGTATGAAAGCGCAAGACTGCAAGAAGGCTGAGCTTTTGTTTCGATTTCGTTCTAATTTCTCTCTTCTTTTTTTTTCATTTGATTTGACCATATAGTTCATGTTTGATTGCGCTCTGAAGGTAGTGATGGTGGCCCGACAACCAATCGTGCCTTTACAGCAAAATCCCAACCCGTTTCTATTTTGGTGGTGGGTTGAAAGTAACAATTGGAACACATTTTGGATACGCACACCACCTATCCAGGAGATGCACGACATGCCACAATAGTATTACCACTATGTTATGCCGGTTCTTATCCCGTAGTGGAGGCATCATCGAACTCGCCACCACCACTCACGATCACTCCTTCCAACACGTCTGCAAGGCACTCACCTGCGAACATTTCACACGATGATTGTTCGATTGACATCCACAACAAGAATTACTCGATGTCAGCTCCAAATGATGCGTGCCCATTTGAGCTAACCTGCACATCAACTACGAATGTTACAGTTGACAATGGCTTTCTAGTAGTGGGTATTTGTTTTTGTAGATAGTTGTCTTATAATAAATGCTATTTTATGTTTCTGACCTTATCACTTATGAAAAAGAAATCAATTCAATGTTATGTATTATATTCGTATAAGAAAATTTGAGAGCATCATCAAATCTAATGGTTGAACATATAAAATCTCTAGCTCAAATAAAATAAACATAAAAAAAATAAATTACAGTTAGCGCCTACTAGTAACATGTTGGAAATAAAATATTAAGAGATAAAACAATAGAGAAAATGGATGAAATCAATGTTTTTCATTTCCCAAAACTTCTTTAGATGGGGCCAACATTTGGTGAATGGAAGCTTACCAATTTACATCAGTAAAGAACTAAAACGAGAAGATATTACCACAGAAGATACCATATTAATCCAACAACCACATAAATAAGCGTTCCTTTACCTAAGTAATGGAAAAATGTTGAACCTTTGCATGACGCGTGAGTTTGAAACCGATCGGTGACTAATCTAACAAAATCTATTTTTAAACCAACAAAAAAAAACCACATAAAATACTTACAACAATGATCAATTTTTAAACTCTCCAAAAAGTAAATGATAAACCTTTATGTTTAATTGCCATGTTAACTTCTATAAAAAAAATTAATTAAATAAACCATACCGTGGTAGCTTGATTAATGTGGGGTGTATACTCTAACAATGAAATGACAAAAAAAGAAATAAAATTTGTGGACTCTAAATGATGCCAAACATGTGTTAGTTAGAGGATCTTAGAAAAAGTTTTAAGTTTATACATTTTTTTAATATTAAAAGAATAAAATAAACCAAATTGAAAAAAAGAAAAGACATGAGAGGGATGGATAATTATTCGGACATTATTTTAAGGTGTGGCTTCAATGTTTTGTATCATACGAGTGTTTTAATCGTTAGAATCCTTAGATATTTCACTATTTTTGGTCTTTTCCTTAATTTAAACTAGCCTTTGTATACATGCTACTATGTGTATAAAAGTCTAAAAATCCTTTTTAATCATGCCACGTGTTAGTTATAATATTTTTATTGCATTTATCATGACGTGCTGAAACTACGTAAGCTTTTATGGTAATAAAAATATAACATGTTTCATAACATTAAATAATTCTATAACATGTTTCAGAACTTTAAATAATTAGTGTAGGGATAACACGTAATTAAGTTTCAAAAAAAGAAAAGAAAATAAGTAATCAAGCTGCATGAGGTAAGCATTTTGTTGTATATGTGCAAGCACTTGAAGCAGAATAAAAGTTGTTTGGACTTAAAATTTAACATTGGCCATGTTTGAGGCCTAATCTTGTTATTTAACACAACGCACATATGAGTCTTTATTTTGATAGAAGTGAACAATGTGCAAGCTTAAGAATTTGAAAGCACTTTGTATGTAAAATTGTGGGCGGCAAAACCCTCTTTCACATTGGGTTGTTACCTCAGTCGGTTTTTATAGAGGAAAAGCAACTTTCTAATGGCATTTCGATAATTTTGATGGGATGAAAGCTCAAGTTGCAGTGTAAATTCTTATCTCCTATCAGTAGTCACATTAACAACTAGGATGAGAGAGAATTACTTCGAAGGGAAGATGCTTGAACTAAAGGGAAAACTTGTTCTATATAAGGTAAAAGAAAGGTAGAAGACAAGGATACTCAACTCACAACACAAAAAAAAACTTTAAAGCTCTGCAACCTACCTTTACCAAATTGCTTTTATAATTCGACACATTTGCAATTGCGTTTAGTTTAAAAGCTCTGCTACATTGCTTGTAGTATCAATTTCCTGTATTAAAACTTCATTTGAAAGCACTTAAGTTACTAGCAAGAACTTACCCGACAACAATAGAACTTGCTCAAATAGGTTTTAACTTTGCCTGATTGATTGTATTTCTCATTTCCTTTCAAGTTATCTCTTTGTTGGTGAATATTTGATAAGTGTTCAATTTTATTTCCTTCATGTCTTTTCATTTTCATATAGTTTGTCATACATTCTATTGTTATACTTATATGTAGGGATGGGCAACAGTTATGGCGGACGGGTAACCGCGGTTATTTACCCATAACCGTTTATGCTCATACCTGCATAATCGTTTACCCGTTGGGTAATTGCCTAAACGGTTATACCCATACCCATAACCGTTTATAAACGGTTAACCATACCCATAACCGCATACCCATTTAATCGTAACCATTTAATATCCGTTTACCCATTTACCCTTTTTAACCCGTTTATCTTTTTTTTTACCATTACCCCTTTTTCACCCGTAAGAAGCACATAATTGGTGCTTTTTACAGAAAGCACTTAAAGTGCTTTTAGTACCCAAAAACATTTTCTTTAATAGCACTTTCAGCCATTTTAAAAGTACATCCAAATGAGTCCTAATTATGGCACAATTCCGAAGTATTCACTATTGAATTAACGGCATGCCATGTAGCATGAAGATAATTCCGAAGAATCCACTATTTATGGTGTTGGTCAAATTTTCAAGTGTTTTAATCGTTATTTTATTTAAAAATACAAAAATTATATTTAACTATTAAAACACCCGGACCATACTCTTAAACTTCCTAAAAATTTTCTTTAATGGATAAGGAATAGGAACAACTTCTTTTAAGTAATAGTTTTTCTGGTTTGAAGAACTCCCATACATCATTAGTAGCGTTCTCTTAGAAGATTGTAATGTTATTTAATTTAAAAAAAAAAAAAACCTAGCTACTATCATTTTCACTAAAAATAAATTAAAGAAATGCAGTAATTTGTGTATGTTAAGTTTAATAGTATACGTGGTCTATGTATCAGTAAATAATCAGTAATGTGGTTTGCTTTCTTATTTTCCGTTAAGAATTGAAATCTTTTAACATGATGCGATGTATATAGGATAACGTTATTCACACTTTTTTTTTTTTTACTTCTTACACACTCTTTTCAATTTTCAGCTATCGGATTGAATAAATTAAAGAAGATCAATGGTAAAAAATTAGCAATGATGTGTGAAAGATAAAAATGAATGTCTGAATAGCACTATTCTATGTCTATAGTACTCCAATTAAGCTACCAAACATTGACTTGGTCTTGTAATAACAATTCACATTTCATATATAACAGTACGCGCATAAAGGAGTTTTATGAATTGAATGTGCCAAAATTATGTTTTATGAGAGATTTAAGTAACGAGACGAAAGAAGTTTGTTGTAAGAACATGACATCTCCACACCACATAACACACCCCGACCCGGAATGTCCACTAGGACTCCGAATCGAGCTGTGTTGGCCGACACCTGAAAGGTGACGTAGCCATAAAGTGTGCTGATGTGAAAAAGTGCCTAAATACCAGATTGCACCAGTGAGCGAGAATGAACCCCCTTGACACATGACGTTAGAGCATAAGCAAGTACAAAAGAGTGAATTAAGAATCGTACCCTCGAAATAATCTTCAATACTAAGAATCTCCACGAATCTTTGACGATAAGAAAGCTTAGCTAATAAAACTTGGAGGGTGAAGACAAGATAAGGGTGAGTGGCCCTGTAAGTATAATTTTAATAGAAACCATGCAAAACATTATAATCCCTCACTATAACACCTGTATAGTTACCAAAAAATTCATAATATACCACAACACAACATTTCATCAATAATATCAAATAATCATGCAATTAATAACTTATACTAGTACGCAAGTCGGAGTCACCTAGGGTGACCTGTACAACTTACCCATATCTCGTCATATATGCTAATTCATAACATATTCATTACATATGCTAGCTCGTCACGTATTCATTACATATGCTAGCTCATCACATACTCATCACATATGTTAGCTTGTCTCTTATTCATTACATATGCTAGCTCATCACATACTCATCATATATGCTAGCTCATCTTTTATTCGTTACATATGCTAACTCATCACATATGCTAGCTCGTCTCTTGTTCATTACATATGCTAGATCATCACATACTCATCACATATCTCATCAATCGTGGCTAGCATATAAGTCGAAGTCACCTCTAGTGACCTGTACAACTGTACTAATATTTCATTAATCATTGCTAGCACATAAACCGGAGTCACCTCTAGTGGCCTATACGGCACTACGTCTGCACACGAGTCGGAATCACAGAAGTGGTCGGTATGACATGACTGGTGTAAATGAGTACGCTCAAGTGCTACGATCACGTGAAGAACCATTTACGAGTCGGAACCACCTATAGTGGTATGTATGACAGGCCTATGCACCTATCTTGAATTCAAGGTGAGTGTATGGTGCGGGAGGTGAACATTATGTGAAGAACTGTGCCCTGGCCACAGGCGGGAGCACTAACACCGGGGTGCAGGTTTATGAGCTTTGAATGCATCTAATACAACATGTACGACTCATAAGAAACTCGTACGACAATGTCAGAGTTGCCTACTATTGCAACCTGTACGACAATGTCGAAGTTGTTTTAAACATAAATGTAGTCATATCATAACCCCATCAATTCAACTAATACTGTATACTTACTTAAACTTACCTAAACTTACTTGAACTTACCTGAACTTACCTGTGTGTCCTGCGTTCACCTTTGCACTTCAGAGCGTTCACAATAATTATGTGCAAGGAATATAAGTAAGGATATGCCATGATGAAATCTAAAATAAAAACATTTCATAGTATTTCCAATTATATAATATGGTGTACTAGCTATTAATCACCAAAACATAAAGTTATAACGCACATTTTTCACCAATATCCCTCACCTTGCTCAATTCCTTAAATAAGGCTATTGTCTCGATTATATAATCTCATTTCTTATATGGCTGCATCTAACGTTTCATTAGACTGTCTACGTACCCTAAGCAGGATCAAGCCATTCATAGTTCACAATAATCATTTATAGTAATACGCATATGGATATATCACGATGAAATCTAAACTCAACCATCTTATAGTATTTTATAACATATAAATATATATATGTCATGGCATAAATTTCTTAGTTTTATTTAAAAGCATTTATAGGATTATCAATCATGAAAAATATGATAAGCAAGGAAAGATCCACTCACCTGGAGTCCGCGCTACAACTTCCTAGCACAAACATCAAGGCAT